GGGCGGGCGGGCCGGCCGGGCCTGGCGGAGGCGGCGGGCGGTGCGGGCCCCGGGGGACGGGCTCTGCTCTGAACCGACTCTGTGTGCTTGGTCTGTGCTTTTCTCTCCCTGTTCCTCAGCCCGCGCCTTGGCTTCGCCCATAGTATGGCAACACGTACGGTGCGGTCAGCAGCGACAAGCCCTCGGTCCGCCCGGCGCCGTAACCTACCCCGCGGCGTGCGAAGCGGGAGGCGGAGCTGGCTGCCCCGGCGCTCCTCCGGCCCCGCTCCCTGTAGTTAGCTTGGGCTAGCCGCCGTAACCTTGCAAAGAACTGCCGAGCGTTGAACTCTCTCCTCCCAGGAGGAAAGTCTTTTCCCCATTTTGCAAATGAGGATCTGAAGCAAACTGCCGTTAAGGGACTTGCCTGTAGTCGTGCAGGAAGTCCGAGGGAGAGCTGAGTTTGCTTCCTTTGCAGCTCTCTGAGAGGGCAAACCAAGTCATTAAAGCAGAGAGGTGTGTGTGTGAAATGAATGTTTGGCCTTTGGTGCTGCCAAAATTTGTTAGGGACTGAGAGTTCTCTTGATTGTAGAAATATGTCGCTTAGAAATGCATTGTTATTCACTCTTGTGTGAAGATCATGATTTTATTCTTTCCACATGTTTCAGTGAATGTCTGAACGCATACAGGTGAAATTGCTCACAGACTCTCTCTCTCTTAGGCTGAGGTGTCCAACTGAAGTAAGCTAGGCAAGCGCCATTCTTGAGAAAGGGACATATATATTTGATGGGAGAGAAAACACTGTTTAGTTTGGAGGCTGCTTAAATGCTGCATGTAGCATCATATGGGAGTTTGCTCAACATATGGCTAATTTGTCTAGTAAGTGCCTGTCCTGAGGAGTGGTGCCAGCGTGGTAGCTGTTTAGCTGAAGTACTACCTGCTGCTCCAGCAGCAAGCTGGGTAACAGCAAAGCGTGTGCTGGTCTTCATCTGGGCCCTCTCTCTTCCCTCCTTCCAGTAGGGGTAAAATCAGAGCCAGCTATCAAAGAATAATAGATAGTTTTGCATGGCTGAGCTGATAGGGCCATCACTGTAATAGTCCACAGATGCAAGAGAGATGGTGTGTAGGAAGAGAGAATGCAAACCCGACTATGGTATATTTAGAAGAAGGGTGGGAAAGGAAGATGTCCAGTTTTTTGGTCTTGTGAGTCCAGATACTTGTGTGTTTTTCCAGGTGAGTTAGCAGGTCTGATGTGGTGGCTTTCAATTATTGAATTTCAGCCTCCTCATGCTTTGCACTAGTGGCATAGAGCTGGTTAAAAATATCATATAGTGGCGTGACGTACTCGGGTTTGCTTTTCCTAGTCACCTTTGCAGTACCTATGGACTGCCACGGACTGCCTTCTTACCGCCACTGGTGGTAGAGAAGAGGTATTCTCTTCCAGCGAGCCCTGCCAGTGTCACATTTGTGTTGTGGGTTTCCTGTTCTCCATGCAAAAAGTCGTGGGTGTTTCTTGACTTCTGGATCTGCAGCGAGCTGGGTTTGTGAGTGTTCGCTTCTGGTGTTGCTTTTTGGAGTTGTTGTAGTAGAGAAAACTGTGAAGCTGAAAATCGGGAAAGCAAGTTCAGCTGTTCATAAGTGATCTCTTCCCAAACAAATTCAACTGCAATTTAGAGAATAAAGCAATTGCTTGCAAGAATCTGACACCAGAAGCATAGAAGCAACAAGGCTGTTGGATGCAGTGAGCTGGAGAGTTTTTTTCCTTGTTAACTATTTTTGCCTGTGTTGCATGTGGAGATAGAGATGTTTCCAACATCCTGCAGTACTGTGAATATTCAGTGCCTTTTCAGATAAGCCTGGCAGTTCAGACATGCTTGTACCCACTCTTCCTTTTCCTGAATGTTTCATTCATGGCTAGATAATGGGTGTTACAGCAAATCAAATCTTCTGCGCTCATTTAGTGGTTATTAAAACATATGTTGGAGGCAGCTTTGAAAAGCTGGTGTTGAAAAACCCATGTGGAATAGTTAAAATGCAACAGCATGTTTAGACATCGCAGAATATGCGATGGATGCAGCCTTCTCATGGGAAACATCGGGAATTCAACTAATGCCCGGTATTTCAGTGTTAAATAGTGGGGTGTTAAATTTGTCTCCTTTTAGATCTGGAGTAAAGGGGCAACTGATTTGGGGTAGATGAGGTCAGAATCCGGTTTAGAATTTTCTGCTAAGAAGTTCAAGTGGGATCTGCTGTTGTAGCAGTGCAGCAAACTGGGCCCTTTAATCCAGCTTTCCCAAGGCTGACAGAGCTTTGGAAGCAGCTTGTTGGGCAGCCATAATTCAGTGGAGGGATTTTCTTCTCAACAACCCTTTCTTCCTGACAGACATATGCTATATGGCACAAACTGGTTTTGGAGAAAAACAGTGCTTACTTCTCTGGAGACAAGGCTGTTGTGAGTTGCATGTACGTCATGCAGAGAAAATGGATGTCCTTTGTCTGCCGATTTTTTGGTAGGATCATTAAGGTCCTTCGTACTTCTGTGAATGGCAAAATGATAGCTTTAAACGTGGATGCAGACTTTTACATGAGGCACCCAGTGCCCGTGTGAGCCGGCACAGAGGCTGGCCGTTAACGGCCGTGCAACTGAAGTACTCTGTCAGTTGGTGCCCAGTGTGCTGCCACTGTTGCAAAGCTGGTTTGTTGTTTTATGCCTCTCTGTTAATTTCTTGTTTCTAAACCCTTTTATCTTGTCACTAGGCTGTTCTTTGGAATTTATTGCACTCGATTAGGGATCGGTTCTCAGAATCGAGGAGTTAGAAGTGAGATTTGAGATAAGTGAGGCCCATTCGGTGCTGCTTTGGACGCCTCCGAAGGGGAAATGGAGTTATCAGGATTGAAAAAGAAGAGTTTGCTAGGACTCAAAGAAAATAATAAAAAATCCAATACTAGGTAATCATTCTGTCCGAATTTTTTAGGCTTAACAAAACTGGGGATGTTATAGGGTACTAGGGCTCCCCCAGTGAGGGTGAGGAATTGGAAATGTACCTCTTTCTGCGTGAATTTCTATGTGTGAGAATTTCTGTATGCTATAGCTGTCTTTCTCAAAGCTGCTCTGTAATTTAAAATATTTTCCTTTTTCTAAAACCTCCAAACTTGCCTGATGCTTTAACTCTGCAGTTATGGTGATCTTGCTACATTTGAAGTGCAATGTTTTTTGTTGCTGTTCTGTTCTTTGTTTGGGTGTGGTTTTTTTTGTTGTTGTTGTTGTTTGTGTTTTTCTGTATTAAACAATGTCTTCTCCGATTTGTTCTTGAAGGGCTCCCTCACCAACCAAGCGCAAGGATAGGTCTGAAGAGAAATCAAAAGACCGGTCCAAGGATAAAGGAGGGACTAAGGAATCAGGTGAAAAGGATCGTGGTCGAGACAAGGCACGCAAAAGGCGCAGTGCTTCCAGTGGGAGCAGCAGTACCAGGTAGTTACTTTTACAGATAGTAACAAATTACAGTGTTCTCAGAAACCACCAGCTTGATTTCTGGTACGCTTTATTCCTTGTGTCGTGGACTTGTTGAAATCTTGTGTTGTTAGTCACAGTGCAGTTTTGTCTAACTCAAGGGGGTTTAGGGTTTTTTTAGGTATGAATTTCCTTTGGCTGTCTAGCGAGCTATGGAGCGTCAGTTTTCATTGTTCTAACTTGCAGTTGCTCTCTCTGTAATTATCAAAAGTTTTTCAGCAGTTCTTTTTGTGGCTATTCTACTCATTTTTATTCCCCTTCCCCCAACAGATCCCGTTCCAGCTCAACTTCCAGTTCAGGGTCCAGTTCCAGCACTGGTTCTAGCAGTGGCTCTAGCTCCTCTTCTGCCTCAAGCCGCTCTGGGAGCTCCAGCACCTCACGAAGTTCCAGTTCCAGCAGCTCCTCTGGATCTCCAAGTCCATCTCGACGGAGACATGACAACAGGAGGCGCTCCCGCTCCAAGTGAGTTTTATTTGCCTTCTAGGAGTTACCAGGTGGGAGGTTAATTTCCGTGTAGAATACAAGATTATGATCAGAATCGATTTTTTTTTCTTTTTTTTTTTTTTTCTGAGGACTGTTTACTTTCTCCCTAACTTAGAGATCTGAATTTTGGTAGAACGGTTGTGCTCCTTTTGTGTACAATCAAAACACATGCTCTGTAGGAAGGGGCATTAAAAAACTCATTTTGAAGAATGATTTTCAATATTATAGTCTGTAGAGGCAGTTTTAATCAATGTTTCCCCAATAGTATGGGATCGTATGGGCACTAGATGAGAGTAAAGCTCTTTGATTCCTGTAAATTACAGTCAAGACTATCAGAAAAGTCAGGGCTGAAAATGGTGTGTATGTGTATCCAAATATAGATGTATATTCTTACACATTAAAAAAATAAAACGGAAGGAGGTGCAGAGGAAGCATTTTCCTGTAAGGGTAGGAATCAAACTATGTTAATGTCCATATAGTTTTTCCTTTGGATAGTTCTGTAGGTAAGGTGCTGAAGGCTGATAAACACTACTGAATTCTTATAAGCTAGCGTGGGTGTTTTAAGTATATCCCTCAATTTATGGACAGTAAGATTAGAAAGAAGCATAAGTATAAATTTGCTGCATACTGAATTTTTTACAGATTATAATTTTTTTTAACTGTGACATTTCTGGACCTCTGTAGCGAACAGAAGATACAGAAACACAAATCATTGGATCCGTTAATTTGCCCGGTTGTGGTATGCTTTGGTGTTTATGTCTTCATTTTGCCTCTTTAATTGTTGAGGCAAAGAACGTTTTTTGTTTTAACAACTGGGAAATTCTTTAACTATGGCCAATGACTTTGAAGAAATGTTTGCTAAATTTCCTATTTGTTACCTAGTTGCAGTAAAGTTGAAAACTCGCAAAAAAAGGCTCTCAAATTCCAGAAGGTTCTAAAGCAAAAGCAGACAAGGCAAATGCAAGTCCTGAGGTGTTTCTAAGTGGAACACCACCACCACTACCCCAGCACTTCCTAACCTGTAACTTCTTAAAGAAAAAAGATGTCCTCCCAAGAAAAATGGTACTTTTTATCATGTGATAATGCCTGACTTCTTGGTTTTGTCTTCATGTTGCCTGAATACTGTAAACATTTTCTGTTGTCAAAATTAGGTCCAAGCCACCCAAGAGAGATGAAAAGGAGCGAAAGAGGCGAAGCCCATCACCCAGACCTACAAAAGTGCACGTTGGCAGGCTCACTAGAAACGTGACCAAGGTAACTGCATGCTCCCCTGTAATACCAAGCTTGCCTATCATCTGTGAGGAAGTGCCAGTGGCCCTTTCAAAGCGCTCAAAACTTTTTTTGTTGCTCAAGTGCTGCCACGCTGTTGCAGATCCCTGCTTTGTGTCCCAATTGGTCAGTGAGGAAAATTTTGGTAGGATTTTACTGAGTCAAATACAGTGCAGGCTTTTGAGACTGTATAGCGCTTAAAAGGTCTGTCTGTTTTGTCAGTATCCCAGACCTTGTGTCTTGCCTTACTGGGAAGAAAACTGTAGAAGCTGGGACAAGAGCTGAAATAGCCTTGGAGGCATTAAGGCTCTCTGGAAGCTCTTGATAAAGAGTCTGAAGAGAGCTGGGCTGGCTTGAGTTATCTTTGCTAGAAAATAGTTTAAAGGTCTTCAGAGGTAAAAGGTTTAGGGTGCTGAAAAAATCATATTTTTTTAAAAAAATACTAACAATTGCACCTTAAGAGTTTTCAACTGAGAGCAGAAATTCCTTTTTCAGATCCGCAAGAGGATTTTTACAGTAGTTGTGGTTTTGTAGCCAGTGTTGGCATGCAGCGGTAGTGCCTCTGGAACTGAACAATCCAAGGACAAACTGAATAGACAGCAGTAGAGAAAGCAGTGGCCACGTCTGGCCAACAAAATATGTCTCTTCCTGATCATGGCATTGATTTAAAGCTAACCTAGTGCTTTGTACATCTTGAATTTACTGCTCTGTACCAGCCAGACCTGGTCAGTAAGGGTGGTCTATCCTTAAGTCTTGCTCTTTCTCTTGCAGGATCACATCATGGAAATTTTTTCCACTTACGGAAAGATTAAAATGATTGACATGCCAGTTGACAGGCTAAATCCACACCTCTCCAAAGGTTACGCTTATGTGGAGTTTGAGAACCCAGATGATGCTGAGAAAGCCCTGAAACACATGGATGGAGGTAGGTATCAAATACTGCAAGGAGGCTGGGTGCTTTTAAAAATCTTTGGAGCAGATGAGTTTGATCTGAAAATGAGTTAGAGATGATGGGAAAACCTTTGGGGAACTGATCCGAAATACCGTCTCTTTTCAGCTCAAATGGCTTTGGCTTTTGCGCGCTTCAGGATGGATCCCAAAAAAATAACAGAACTATTAAAACTGAGGGCTTTTTCAGAACAAACAGTAGTAAAATTCTTTACATTTCTGTGAAAATCTTTCCCAGTTAACATCTGAACTGCAATTTGATGGAGTATTAGATTAAGAAGTCTAGTATGCATGTGGACTTTGTCAAAATAACGCCTGAGGGGGTGGTGGAAATAGGACCATAGGCTTATTCATGCTTCAGTTGCTTGTGACAAAGCTGTGAGTTGTAGTAATGAGATGTGTAGATGTTAGTGTTGGAATATACTTACTTCTCTCTGTTTCTGTGCTTCCCTAAAAAGGCCAGATTGATGGTCAGGAGATCACTGCCACGGCTGTGCTAGCACCACGACCCAGGCCGCCTCCCAGACGCTTTAGCCCACCCAGGAGGATGCTGCCACCACCGCCGATGTGGCGCAGGTCACCCCCTCGCATGAGGAGAAGGTGAGAGCTGTGACAGTTTGTATTTCCTTCTCTGTGTAACCACGTGTTGCCACTGAAAGACTCGGCACGGGGACAATTCAATCCTGTTGGACTTGACTTTCCCCTCCAAATGACAGTAACGCCTTTTGGGCATCAGTGGAACCTGAATTGCACTTCTTAACTCCATAGCGCCAGGGTGACCTGCTCTGGTCTACACCCTGAACACAGTCAGTGGGAAATGTCAGATGCTTTCCATCCTGTTCCCTGGAGTCCCTTCTGCATAAATGCTTCCAGATGCAGTAGGAATGGACTTCTGGCTGGCAGGATGCTTTTGGCAGCCTCCCCCAGCCGCTTGCTTTTCTGAAGCCTTTGCACCTCCCTCCCTTATTTCTGTGAGCAAAAAGCAGGCCGCTCGCATCAGGTGAGCAGAGTACACTGACCGCAAGATGTGACCTGACATGCACGTGCCCGTTGCGTGACTCGGGGCTGCCTGAACGTGCTGAGATAATAAGTCTTTTGGGGTCTTCCACAGCATCTAGATGGGCTCCTCTGTCTTGGAAATCTGCTGAGACTCTTGTCAGTACTACCAGCTGCTCCTGTTTGAGCCGCCTAATTGCTGAACAGCTTATGAACTACAGGTTTAAAGATGAGAACTAGTTAACGTGGCACAAGATCCACTGCCTGTTGCTGCTTGTTTAAATATGCTTTTTACTGAGATCTGGCACATGATACATATGGTGTTCCCTCCTCATTGGTTGTTTTCTTCACTAGCCAAATTTTTATTATCCCATTCAGGCTCTGTTAATATCCTGTGCCTGGAACCTCGGTGTTGTACTGGTGGCTGTACGGATTGATTGTAGTGCTGAAGAGCTTGAATCATCAGTATTTCTTTAGTGTTAGACTTCCTCTAAGAAATGTCCCTGTGATTTGAAAGGGCTTATGAGTACCCTTTTCCTTACGCTTTCCCTGAGTATCACTGTATTTTGGGGGTCAAAGCTGACTGTTCAGGTGAAGGAGAATCTGATGCAGAATGAACGTGAGCTTGTTTTGCTTGAGGAAGAAGACGAGATTCTTGTCTGTCTTTGGATATTAAACATTCTTTCAACTTCCTGAAGCAGAGGGAGGGTAGCCAGAATATTCCTGCTACGCAGTCAATGTTTGAGTTGCCTTTTTCCTCTCCGGAGCTGGCTGCATTTCACTGGAGCTCCTTTCCTGTGGTGAGGGAAGGTTTTTTGGAGGGGAGCGGGGAAGTGTTTTTGAAAAGTGCATAGATCTGCTGACAAATTACTGGAACCTGTTGCACTTGTCTCCTGATGGACTCTTTCTCCTCCTTCTCTGTCAGGTCCCGCTCTCCTCGGCGCAGATCCCCTGTTCGCCGGCGATCAAGATCCAGATCTCCTGGACGAAGGCGCCATCGCAGCCGCTCCAGCTCAAACTCCTCGCGATAAAGGAAAAAGACTGGACAGCTTTTTATTTTTTAACTTAAATCCCATCAGACTAAATATTGTACCTTTTTTTTATAATGGGTCTGGTTGAGGAGGAGTGAGAGAGAGAGAAATAATCCTGGCAGTGAAGGCAACCTAAGAGGGCAGAGCGACAGTTCCCGGACAGTAGATCGCCTGAAATTATTGAAAAATGGCTTTGATTTTTTTGAAGGCTGCAAAAAACATCTTTTCCAGGTAAAGGGAAGGAAAGATGTTACAGCCTCTCTTTCTCCAGTTAGCAGGCTGCCGCTTGGTGATTTCTAAACGCTTAGCACGCTGTACAGACGAGCATGTAAATCTTGAGCTATTTCAGAAACCCTGTGTAGTGAGGCAGGGAGGCATTTAACTTGATCTCTAGGTGCCAGTGCAGGATTTTTTCAGAGCAGCTGGAGCCCAGATCTGCCCAAGACTTAAAATACCGGGTTGTCGCTTTATTCCAGTTCCCAAACAGCTTGTTAGTGTCCGCAGGGTGAGCTCTTTCTGCGGGTTAAGCTCTTCTGTAACACATATACCAGGCGGTCGCTGGCAACCTTAAGAACTGGTTTGTAGCTGCTCCCGTAAGTGATTTCTTTCACCGTTTCTTAAAGGGTTTTGGTAAAATCTTCCTACACCACCTCCCCGCCCAGGGAGATGGTGTGAGTGCTTCTGCTCTTACAAATCTCAAATACGGGGCCTGAGCATTGACCCCTGGAAGCTGCGAGGCAGAGAAGGGAGGGTCGGGGTCGCTGTGCTGGCTGGATTGACTGGGCTTCGCATAGGGAAAGGCAAAGAATTTACCACCTGTTGTACAGTCAATACTATAAAGATTTTTGTTTTGTTTTGTATCACTTTGTAGCCTTTTGGGCTATGTTGTGTTTGTACTTGTGTAGGATGAGCGACTATTGAATAAAGCAGTAGGGTTGAGAATAACCGACCTGCCTCGGTCCCTTCTCCAGCCCCGGTGAGGCCGGCACCTGCCTTTTTGGGGGGAATTTCACTGTAAAACCAGCACTGCCCCGCTCCCGCCGGAGGGCTCGTCTCTCTTTAAGAGCGGTGTGGGCGGTGCTTTTCGGCTGCCGTCACGCCGGCAGGCGCCGCTGATTGGCGTCGCCCAGGGCGGGCGGAAGTGGGGTGGCGGCCCTCAGCGCCATGGCGGCGGGGCTGGAGCGCGCCCTGCGGGAGGCGGCGGCGGAGCTGGAGAGGGGCGGGGAGGGGGCGGCGG